GCAGAGGGGAGCAATCTGAAAGTATAAGCAAACCACATCACGACAATGCAGTATCCATATACGAGCGCCTGGTAATAGAGGGTGGGCCGCGGAAGATCGAGCTCGTCAGACAGCTGCTTGCCGTTGAGATGCCGAGCCATGGCCTCCATAAACTCCTTGGATGCGTAGGTTGGGGGTGTGTTTTCAAGACTCAGGATAATGTTCTGCGCCAGAATCTTACTCATCTCGGTGGGATCTATTTCCGACGCGAGGAGGGATTCCATCATGGCTTTAGCCTTAGCCCTCGTCTCGAGGAACTCATGCGGCGCGCCCATATAGTACGCCACCAGCCGCCACAGGGCAAGATAGTCATCAATCTCTCGCTCTCGCAGCAAGATACCCTGCCGAGGCAATCCAATCCAGAGTACGCTTGTCGAAAAGGTATTGATAGTGGCTATGCAATCAAGGTCATTAATAGGAATGCCGAACTTGCCGACATCGTAATATTCAGGCTTGTTCTTGACCAGGTCCAATATCCTTGAACGGACAGCGGCGTGAAGCAACCGCACTCGAACCGACGAGGCGTGACCAGCTCCTCCTGGTCTCATGGCATCAACGGACCCGGTGACCTGAAGAACATGTTGAAGGGTTTCCAGCATCCTGCGTCGTGCGACATCTGCGGCGAATCCTCCAGTCCTTGCTAAAGTTTCTACGACGCGTCCGGATCCCCTGCCGCAATTGTTAGTTCAGTTTCATTGCTAGTATCGCAATACGGAGTCAGACATTCCGCCCAATAGACTCTGAAAAGTAAGCTATTTATGATGTTGACGTTAGTCCACCAGTTGAATCTACAGAAAAATGGTCCAAGCTTACCACGTTGATCACTGCCATTCCATAACGGTAGAATACTTCTTGTCCTCTCTTAATCTGTTCCCAGTCAACCCAGTCAGGAACGGTGTTGATCTCATTCCTGAATTCTTTGATCTTGAGATCATCGTCATGATGCTTTTCGAGCAACATGTATAGATCTCTCTTTGCTGGCTTGGACGTCGATCCTTCGGTCTTAGTAGTGTCTCGACGAGGTACATGTGAGATTTCATTTAGCCGTTGAAGACAGTCATCTGCAAGCCTGTCATAAGTGAACATCAGCGGGTGTAGCTGTTCCGCAGATCGATGAAGATCGCTCCATTCGAACTTGTAACCCCAGTGTTCGCGCACATTCTGGGTTTCCTGGCTTGATGAAATCATAGCTGGTAGCACAGCAAATAAACTCTCCCCTATGTCTCGATATATCACGTAGCGTGCTATATTATCATGGTAGGTGCTCAGAAAAAGTTGTTTCCGCTGAGCCATTCGGTAACAGCCTGAAACATCCCTCCCATATATACAGCGCTGCTGGCATGCACTTGCTCACATGAGTGTGAAGGCCGAAGGCCATGTTTTCCGGCGAGCCAAATCAAAGCTGCTATCCATGGATGAGACAAGTCACTAGCGGCTAGGCGGCTTTGTGGTTCGACATGTGAACGCACAGAGTGGTAGAGCAGAGTAAGGATTCTGTGCCGGGGAGTTAGGTTGATCCTATTCAGCCCTTGAATCTTACTCGATTTGTTTTCCATGATGACGGATGGACTATGGATGTAAGGGGATACGGGTTCCAGTGGGTTTCCTGATCAGAGCTCAGTCTCCGCCCCAGGCGCCTTAACTTTTCAAGGCTCTGAAGATGTAGCTTTATACTTCTTTAGGGACATTACTCCAGAAACTGATTGCTGTAAGGTTCGACCTTCTGTCCCTCACCACCTACTTACTGATAGATCAGCAGTCACAAGCTGTACTCTTGGACTAAGTTCATTCGGATGATTTTAAGCCTCACAGTGTCTGAAAGTGGTGTTAGCTGCAGGTCAAAGATTGTATTAAATACTCTGTTAAAAGCCCAGGAAAGCTCCTTCTACCCGCGACGTGCAACAACAAAATCTGAAAGTAAACGGCCAAATGCTAGATAGTGGTAACATAGATCTTGATAATCAGCACTTGTTTTGATTTAGTGCCAATACAAGACTGGGGACAAAGACAAGACCAAGCCCGCTCTCTAGGATGGCTGAGTAAACTTACGATCCCATCAAATCCCGGGGTAGTTTGAGTGGATTGCGACATATGTATCTTCTTGTATCAAAAATCAATCCCTCTTACGAATTTGATGCTGGGTTTGGGTAGACCTCGACTCAAAGCACGCCCCTCCTTGCTGGACCTGATTGCCAGTCGCGGCGTGGTTGATCTGTCCGTATCCAAGCCGTCATCACCGCCCGCGCCAGACGAACTGCCACCGCTCCCCGTTTCGCCCACTTTAACGACCTCTAGCTCAAGTAGCAGCAGCAGCAACATCGAGCTTCCCTCATCCCCGTCCTCTTCATCCATACACACACCAGTTGTGCGAATAATGGCTCCTTCTGGTAAGGACAAGACTGGTGATGACCAGAATGGCATTATTTTCTCCATATCTGGCCCCGTCGTCGTGGCCGAGCACATGATCGGCTGTGCCATGTATGAGCTGGTAGGTCATTATTGACGCTTCACTTCAGGAAATGGTCGGGCTTCGTTTAGCTGACTGAAATGCTTTTTGCTACTTCAGTGCAGAGTCGGACATGATCAGTTGGTTGGTGAGGTCATTCGACTTGATGGAGATAAGGCTACCATTCAGGTATACGAGGAGACAGGTACAGCTCCGCATCTACACCATGACGAACTGTTACTGGCAACTACGAGTCTAACGTTTTACCCTTCCACTCTCTAGCTGGTCTAACGGTTGGTGATCCTGTTATGCGTACGGGCAAGCCTCTCTCGGTCGAGCTTGGTCCCGGTTTGTTGGAAACAATCTATGATGGTATTCAGCGACCCCTGAAAGAGATCGCTGCTCATTCGAAGGGCATCTACATTCCCCGTGGTATTGCAGTGAATGCTTTGGATCGCAAAAAGAAGTGGGATTTTAAACCCGGCAAGTTCAAGGTCGGCGACCACATCACCGGTGGTGACATTTGGGGTACCGTCTTTGAAAACAGCTTGTTCAACGACCACAAGATCCTCCTTCCTCCTCGCGCTAGAGGTACCATTACCCGGATAGCTCCTGCTGGCCAATACACCGTTGAAGAGAAGCTCCTGGAGATTGAATTCAACGGACAGAAGTCGGAACATGGTATGATGCACTCTTGGCCTGTTCGTGTACCCAGACCGGTCAATGAGAAGCTGCCGTCCGATGCGCCCTTCATCGTCGGCCAGAGAGTGCTGGACTCTTTGTTCCCCAGTGTACAAGGAGGTACTGTCTGTATCCCGGGAGCTTTCGGTTGCGGAAAGACTGTCATCTCTCAGAGTGTCTCCAAATTTTCCAACAGTGATATCATCGTTTATGTCGGCTGTGGTGAGCGGGGTAACGAGATGGCGGAAGTTTTGATGGATTTCCCAGAGGTACAGGACCTGAGACCTCTGCTAAGACGATCGCACGCTGACGAAACTCTTTACTTAGCTGTCCATCGACGTCGAGGGTCGCAAAGAGCCCATCATGAAGCGTACATGCCTGATCGCCAACACATCGAACATGCCAGTCGCCGCCCGTGAAGCTTCCATCTACACCGGTATCACGATCGCCGAGTACTTCCGTGACCAGGGAAAGAACGTGGCTATGATGGCGGACTCTTCCTCTCGCTGGGCCGAGGCTTTGCGTGAACTTTCTGGTCGTCTGGGAGAGATGCCTGCGGACCAGGGTTTCCCCGCCTACCTAGGTGCCAAGCTCGCCTCCTTCTATGAACGTGCTGGCAAGAGTATCGCTCTCGGAAGCCCCGAGAGAAATGGCAGTGTCAGTATCGTCGGTGCCGTCAGCCCTCCCGGTGGTGATTTCTCCGACCCCGTCACCAGTAGCACGCTGGGTATCGTGCAGGTATTCTGGGGTCTCGACAAGAAACTTGCTCAGCGGAAACACTTCCCCTCGATCAATACATCGATTTCCTACAGCAAGTATACGGCCATTCTGGACAAGTTCTACGAAAAGCATCATCCCGAATTCCCCCGTCTACGAGACCAGATCCGCGAACTGTTGTCCAAGTCCGAGGATCTAGACCAGGTTGTGCAGTTGGTCGGTAAGGCGGCCCTCGGTGACTCGGACAAGATCACCCTGGACGTCGCAGCCATGGTAAAGGATGACTTCCTGCAGCAGAACGGTTACAGTGACTATGATCAGTTCTGTCCTCTGTGGAAGACCGAGTATATGATGAAGGCTTTCATGGGCTTCCATGATGAAGCCCAGAAGGCCATTGCTCAGGGGCAGAGTTGGAGCAAGGTCCGTGACGCCACTGCTGACATTCAGACCTCTTTGCGTAGCATGAAGTTTGAAATTCCAGACAACCAGGCAGCGGTTTCAGGGAAGGTCAGTCCAATGTTTCCCATCAAAATCGGTAGTCTCTCGTCACTGACAAATCTACACAGTATGAGAAGATCCTTCAGACCATGTTGGAGAGATTCGCTTCGGTGTCGGACGAGTAAGGAGACGAATGTCCGGAGAGGCGATACTTTCTTTTATGTTTATTAGAAGCCTATATGTAGCAAGTTTATGTCTCTGTATTTATTTGAGTCGACTTTTCTTGTTCCGCAAGCTAGTGCCGGCTCCCGAGCACTTTGTGACTTTTTATACACTTGATCTTTGAGTAAGGGCTATATAAATGTGCACCTAAATGGCATCAAGTTTATCTATTTCTCGCGCCAATTACTAGAGCGGGTTTTCAGTAGCAAAAGGAGTGGTAAGATGGGACATAAGAGTCTACCATATCGTAAACTACCTCATGATTGATGCCTGTTGATCGCAATGTCGGTGGCTGATGTTAGGCACCACTGTTAAAGCGGTCTCGGGTGGCCACAGCCACATGACGGGTGCAGCGATGGCTCTCGTGAGCGACAACATTAGTTTGGACTTCTGTAAAAAGATCGTTCTCCGTGAATTTCATAATAACCAGTACTAAAGTCCTTATTCTCAGAGAATAGATACAAGGAGTGTCGTTGGACGGTGCAGTGTCCATAGTCGATGCTATCATTCCTCCGTTGCCCATCTATTTCTATATTGATCTGGACCACAACCGAAACTCTACACTTGGCCGCAATCCCAACTCTTCCCGCTCTTTCCTACCCACAATCACCACTCCCTCTAAGCAAAGGCCATACACTCGAGTCTCATCCTTTTTGAATCGAAATCTTCTGTTCTACTGCAGAAATAGTTCTGTGCGATCGCTTTCTCTACACAGTTGCCAACCATGGCAAGCCCGACAACAACCTCGTGCGCATGCCCCTGTTCCCCCGAGGCCAAGCTCCGAAAACGTTAGCTAACTTGTATGCTTGTTGGCAGTATAAACGTTAATGATCCCGGCTTGATTTCACTGGTGAACAAACTTCAAGATGTTTTTTCGACAGTCGGGGTAAGTGTCTCATCCACTGTTTGGAGATCTCTCTGCTTTGGTCCTGCGAGCCCCTCTATCCGATACTGACACCGCTTGTCTGGTTAGGTTCACAACCCCATTGATCTGCCACAGATTGTAGTGGTAGGCTCGCAATCCAGTGGAAAGAGTTCAGTTCTCGAGAATATCGTTGGAAGGGACTTGTAAGTTAACTGTTCCTGCGCCTGTGTTCGATGCTGTGAGTTGTCGCTAATTGAGGTTGCCCGCTGCTCCAGCCTCCCTCGTGGATCGGGAATCGTGACTCGGAGACCCCTCATCCTACAGCTCATTAACAGACCTTCAAGAAACTCGGTAACGAACGGAGTCAAGGAGGAAAAGCTAGAAACTACGGACAGCGAGGCGAATGTCGACGAATACGGCGAGTTCCTCCACATCCCCGGACAAAAGTTTTACGACTTCAACAAGATTCGCGAGGAGATCGTGCGGGAAACTGAACAGAAAGTCGGTCGCAATGCTGGTATCTCGCCAGTGCCCATCAACTTGCGAATTTACTCGCCCAACGTCCTGACCCTCACACTGGTCGATCTGCCCGGTCTCACCAAGGTCCCAGTGGGCGACCAGCCCAAGGATATTGAACGGCAGATTAGGGATATGGTTCTCAAGTACATCAGCAAGCCGAACGCGATCATCCTGGCCGTCACCTCTGCCAACCAGGATCTTGCCAACTCGGACGGATTGAAACTGGCGCGCGAGGTGGACCCCGAGGGTCAGCGCACTATCGGTGTGCTAACCAAGGTCGATCTGATGGACGAGGGTACAGATGTGGTGGATATTCTTGCAGGCAGGATTATCCCTTTGCGGCTGGGTTACGTCCCTGTGGTCAACCGTGGCCAGCGTGATATTGAGAACAAGCGTCCCATCTCATACGCACTAGAGCACGAGAAGAACTTCTTCGAGAGCCACAAGGCTTATCGGAATAAGGCTTCGTACTGCGGAACACCGTACCTTGCCAGGAAGCTGAACTTGGTATGTTTTATTGGCTGAATCATATCGTTGGTGGAATTTTAGCTGACCCTCCGTTCTCTAGATCCTTATGATGCACATCAAGCAGACTTTGCCCGATATCAAAGCCAGAATTTCCGCCTCTCTCCAGAAGTACACAGCCGAGCTCTCCCAGCTTGGCGACTCGATGCTCGGAAACAGCGCCAATATTATCCTTAACATCATCACGGAATTCAGCAATGAGTACCGCACGGTTCTGGAGGGAAACAACCAGGAGCTGTCTAGCGTCGAGCTTTCTGGTGGTGCCCGTATCAGCTTTGTGTTCCACGAACTGTACTCGAACGGTATCAAGGCCGTGGATCCATTCGACCAGGTGAAGGATATTGACATTCGAACAATCCTTTACAACTCTTCTGGCTCGTCTCCTGCGCTTTTCGTCGGAACGACCGCCTTTGAGTTGATTGTCAAGCAGCAGATCAAGAGACTGGAGGATCCCAGTTTGAAGTGCATCTCGCTGGTTTACGACGAACTTGTACGCATTCTGGGTCAGCTTCTGAGCAAGCAGCTCTTCCGGAGATACCCCATGCTCAAGGAGAAGTTCCATGCTGTTGTCATCAGCTTTTTCAAGAAGTGCATGGAGCCGACAAACAAGCTTGTCCACGATTTGATCTCGATGGAGGCCTGCTACATCAACACTGGACACCCCGATTTCCTCAACGGGCATCGCGTAAGTGACCTTTGGTTCCAATTTCTTTTGTAAGCGATCCTGACAGAATGTAGGCTATGACAATTGTCAATGAACGCCAGCAAGCGAGCAAGCCTACGCAGGTAGACCCGAAGACGGGCAAGCCTCTGCCTCCTCGTGCAAACAGCCCGTCCGTCGATGCCGTAGCCGCCACAGAAAACAGTGGTTCTGGATTTTTCGGCAGTTTCTGGGCATCCAAGAACAAGAAGAAGATGGCTGCCATGGAGCCTCCTCCACCTACCCTCAAGGCATCTGCCACTCTTTCTGAGCGTGAGGCTACAGAGGTCGAGGTGATCAGTAAGTTTTGAATAAAGTCTGCTAAGACAGCAAAAACTAATGCGCGGATAGAGCTTCTTATCACCTCTTACTTCAACATTGTCAAGCGCACCATGATCGACATGGTTCCCAAGGCCATCATGTACACCCTCGTTCAGTAAGTGGGATCGACAGCTTCGACAAATCTTTGTGCTAACCTTTACTTCAGGTTCACCAAGGATGAGATGCAACGTGAACTGCTCGAGCAGATGTACCGTAATAACGAGCTGGACGAATTGCTCAAGGAAAGCGACTACACCATTCGCCGACGGAAGGAGTGTCAGCAGATGGTGGAGAGCCTGAGCCGCGCCAGCGAGATCGTCAGCCAAGTTCAGTGATTGTCCAACGACACCCTAGCTTGCCAGTCCCATTACTCTTGTTGATTCACTTGCCATCCCTACTGGATCTTCCTGGACCTTTTTGGAGCGGATTCTTGTGTCGGCTTGAGGAGTCATATCCTACGTTATATTCTCCGCGAGGGCTTTTCAAGGGCTCTAGAGCAGTATGTCTTCCCAGATGTCCGGTTGTCAAGAGATTCTATACCACGAATTTGTATTGCCTAATGATTGCTGTGGATGATTCGTTTTTCCGTTCTTGGTTTATTAGAATTAAGAGAGACGTTTATGAGTTCAGCATGATATCCTTTCCTTAACCTGTACATATCACTGAATAAATCCTATCGCTTGATTCTATCATTTTCTGACTTTGACTACTTTATTCATTTATTGTCCGTCCAGGTGGCGCAGCTATTGCGTATTCACTAAGTGTACCCGAGGGGTAATGTGGCTGAAAGATTACCAAACTGTTACAACATAAATAACACACGTCAGCCTCACAAAAACAGTTTAGCGCCATCTGTTTAAGGTATTATAGCGCTCAGTTAGCGTCATATCATTAGCCAATGAGCGTTCAGCATCGTGAACTGCAGAAGTATACTCATTTGGCAGTATATCGAGTTCAGAGCGAACTTCAACGCGGGCATCTTGGTACTCAGATCTGTACAAAATACTAGAGAAGCAAGAAACCAGGGTTGATGCTGTTCAATGAGGTGAAACATGTAGTGAATGGCGGGGATAGCACAGATGACTTCTTTTCTCTCACTCTCACTTCCTCTGTCTTCGTCTTCACCTCCTCCTTCTCTTGTCTATCCGCCATCGAGGAGATTATCTTCCATTCTCTTGTCGTCTACTGGGACTTTTGTCTTTTGTGTTTTTTTCCCGAGCTGCTTACCCGTCAAGTCATCTTTGCGCTGTCCCATTTACCTCATCTTCGCGGTGTTAGCAAGGTATGCCTATTCCGATTCCGCTGCTGCCGGTGTGTACGTAGCATAAGCTAACAGGACCCAAAATACCAGAGCAATCTCTCTAACACATACAGTCTCAGTCTAAGTCCGCTGACTTCCTTTTTACGGTAAGAACCATCCTCACCCGATTCGGAGCAGATACAGATAGATCTAATAGTTAACTATTAGGACCCGGACACCGCCAAAATGTGCGAATACCTCCCCGTCTACCATAAACCCGCCGGCTGCGTTGCCTTCCCCAAGCACGTCGTCGAAGTGAAGGTCTACCTTGCATGCTTGGAGATCATCAATGACCCGACTGGGGCGAAGGAGCGCTGCGATGACAAGGACTGTCATTTGGCTGGGTCGCTTGGCTCGACTCGGACTCGGGCGGAATGCCCTCATTGTCTCTGTCCTCCTTGGGGTGTGATTGAGCCGTTGTATATTGTAAGTATATTTGATGTTGTTCTGTTGGTGTTGGTGATGATCTTGGGGCCGGTGCTGATATTTTGGGTAGGTGATTAGGGACCAGGAGTTTGCTTCGTTGATCGCTCAGAGTGGTTTGTTTTGAGCGGTTGAGGAGCAGAACCTTGGTCTGTCTGGACTTAATGGATGGAGCGGATAGGCGCATGGTTGACGTCGTGTCGTCCTTTTGGTGATACCATTTGCGGAGCGAAGCTTGGGTGGAATGCAGCATGATGATAACGGCCTTTTTGAATTTAGCTGAGCCTGGCCTGTAGCGCCGACGATGAGAAACGTCTTATGGACTGAAAAGGCACTTCCTCTATTTTGTAGTACTATGGCGGTAGACATAATGCCAGCCTTCCTTGGCCATATCCTCGCGGACCCGATAATTCTCCTCGGCAATCTTCAACAGCCCCATATCCATATCCACAACCAGCACGCCTTCCTCGCTCCCCATCTTACCCACCGGCCCGACGATGGGGAGCGTGACGCGGGACATACCGAGGAACTTCTCATCGGCGCCCGCAGCATTAACGAAGACAACGGCGCAGGTATTCTCAAAGCAGCGAGACGTCAGCGTCGTCTCGAGGAAGAGCGCTTCTGAGTCTGGGTTGTAGGAAAGTGCCTCGGGCGACGCATCGTAGCGAGTCCCTTGGTGGTGTCCGGTCAGTCGTCAATCCGCAAAACAAAAAGAGAGACAGGCACTTACAAAACGTAGGAATAATCACCACTTCCGCCCTATTCGCAATCAGTTCCCGGAATGCCTCTGGGAACGCCAGATCCCAGCATATCAGCAGCCCCACTTTCCCAATTGGCGTGTCGAATACCTCGTGCGGTGCTTCGCTGGACGAGGTGAGGTGAGGACGCTCGGGATGCCAGATGTTTTTCTTCCGGTAGGAGCCAAGGATGCTGCCGTCGTTGGAGATAAAGTACGCCGTATTGTAGAGGCTGAATCGTTCTTTCCCCTCGGCTTCGGTCTCGTGTCTTTCGACGATGCTTCCCGGGACGAGGCAGATATGCAGCTCCTTTGCGAGAGCTTGGTAGGCGGATAGGTACTTCTTATACTGGCCTGCCTGCTCGGCCCAGAGGGAGTCATCCGGAGCCCACCCGTTTAGATGGTATCTAGTCAGAATGAGTTAGACTATTCTTACGATGCTTCCAGACCAATGACTTACTCTGGTAGAACGGCTAGCTCGGCGCCTTGTGCGGCCGCATCTCGAATGTAATTGCATGCTCTGGCGTGGTTTTCTTCAATTGCGAGGTCCTGATGAATTCAGGCGTTAGATCAAGCTTAAAGGGGCGACTGGGAGCGGATAAGATCACGGTGCGCTCCAGATAGCAGTCACCGTGGTGCCCCTGGTAGTGACGTAGCTTGCCTTGATGTGCCATTGGATCACCGCGACTCGACGGATTGGTGCCATTTCGGACGTTGTGGACTGGGACACTCAATACGCGGTTCTGAGAGTCTTTCGACGATATGAATCAGGGGATGTACTCGATGAGTCGATGTACTTATCCTTAAGGAAGTTGGAGAATCCGGCCGTTGGGGTAACTTGTGGGGTTGAGCATCTCCATACCCCGCTTCGGTGTACCATGTGCCCTACTGAGTACTCAAACATCAACCCCCATCAAACAGTCACCTTCGTAGTTATTGCCAACAGACAGTCTCGCCTCAATTCCATGCCAGTTTGATCTCCATGTTATTCTATGCAAAAGATATTACGAGTTGAAGCGATGTTTCGTGTTGAGCACAATTCACAAGGTGACTTGACTGGTACCGACAGTAAGCTTCGAATGACTGGTTGACCTGGAGAAAAGACGTCTCATTATGATTATATTATCTGATCTATCTAGCTTCATAAGTCATACGTATTAGTGTCCGCTTACGCGGTTGTTCTTCAAGCAAATATGTCGTAACTAGGCCATCGCTCCAGCCACCGAGAAAGTCGGCTTCTTGCTCACCCGATATACCAGCCTATCGGTCCAGAAATGCGAAAAGACAGCATGGACCGTTGGAATACCACCAAAGACGGTTCCTGCGATAGGAAAGCAGATGCGCTCCACTAGCTGCGCAGGGCTCCACCAGATCCGTTCCGAGAACCCTGCATCCGCCACGTTTGCTTCTTGCATATCTGTTTTCCGCGTGCGCACACAGAGTGCATGCCATGGCTCGTACAGAAAAATGCACATATTCATTCCAATAAATGATGCTGCGCGTAGCAGGTTGGTAAGGTCGAACGCCCATGCCATGGTGGGATGGAGGGAAGCTGGAGGCGTCAACAGAGTGTAGATCGTAGAGAAGAGCATGAGTATGATCAGGTGGCAAGGAAGAAAGTGAGCTTCCCAGAGCAGATGTACCAGGGCAAGGTGCCTGGGCCGGAAGAAGAGGCAGCGGCAATGAGAGCGAATGTAGCTGATAGTACGTCGCGCGGCAAAGCCCGAGTCAAGTGCACCCCACATATGCCTCAATGCCTGTCGATAACGGGCGCGGCAGGTATCCAACGACCGTCGCCAGCCCCGTCCAGTATCGCTTGAGACGTTGCACTGGCTTGCGGGGACGTAGACCGGCCGAGTGATGACGTTGCCCGCAGTTTCAAAATAGCACTTGAGCATCATGTGCATGTCCTCTCCGATCGCAGTTGAATCACTGTCCCAGCCACCAATCCTCTCAGCCAGAGACAGCGGCAAAGAGTAGACCGATGTCGGGATTGAAACGCACGTCCCAGGGTAGATGGTGGACAAGCCGGCGAAACCCCAAAGCAGATCTGCGCAACGGACCAGAACCGGGGTCTCCTGAGAATTGCGGTCGAAAATGATAGGGCAGCAATATAGAGTCCGATCTGCTTCCGAGATGTGCGCATAATGAAGGCGCCGGATCTCTGTAAAGTAGTCTTGCCAGAAATGCGTATCGGCTATAACTCGGTTAGAGCTATCAATTGACCAGACAAAGGACAACACCTACCATCCATAACCGTGACAATCACATCACAATGTCCCGAGTCCAGCTCTGCCCTGTGCACTTCCATAACGTGTCGGGCCGCAAAGGCCACATTTGAGCTCTTTCCAGCTATTTCGCCGGGTAAGTTTGCGGGGTGGAAAGTAGCATGGATATGGCGGAAGGACGGTTCGAATGCTGATGCCAGCTTGGCTGCTTTTTCGGCGACCCCGGCTTCTTTCTGTTCCATTGCGAGGTATATCTGATTTGCCAAGGCCCAATATTAATTTCAGGAAGCACAATAGGGACTCGCTCAGCACCCACCTCATACTGTGTCCGTGCCCTTGGGTGGCTCGCCAGAACATCCAGGGTGGTTCGCAATGTATGTAGGTCCTCACAGTAGTTCGGAAGGATTATTGCGTGAATGACCTCCAGTCCATCAGAATCGTGAGCCATATCGCTCATCAGTGGATCAGATACATCCGAATCCGTGTCTGTGAGTGTCGAAGTGTCCGAGAGCCACTTATCTTTGTCCACAGAAATGCGAGGTTGCACGATATTTCGCCGCTGCAGGGCTTCCTTTGTCTTCCGGGTGACGCTGAAAAGGGCCCACGCCAGACGCGTGGTAAAGGCGAACATGCTGACATGAACAAGGATGGTATATATGACAAATAACTGCTGGGCCAGATTGAGATGGTGCGGCCGACTGCCCGGCGCATCTTTTGGCGATGATGGCAACGGGCTCTTCCATTTCCAAAAGGCGACTGCATCACTGGAGGTCAACCGGAGAAGCACAATCAACGCAATGATACTAAAGCCAGGCAAGCAGCGTGATGCCCATTGGAAGACCATTTTGTGAAAAGCCTGGTTACTAAATACCTGCTGCAGAATCCTTCACCCCGCAGAGGGGGGAAACGAATCAGTTCTCTACGAGAGGCCATGGTATATAACCGTCAAGAAACTAAGAAAAAGGGGCCTTGGACAAAATGGCCCTATTCTTCATGACTTCCACAGGGACACACTAGTTAGCGGTCCGCTGGAAGAGCTGGAGTATACTGAGTATAAGTGCCTGGCGAATGGACCATTGACAACATCAGAATATGCATCATGGCCCTATCATTCGACGGTTCAGCTCTAGGAGGCTGTATATGATGATCAGCAATAGAGACAAGGTTCGTTAGCCGTGGTAATCATTCAAATCTGATATGGGCCCTAAAAGCACCTGCAAGCGTTCGGTGGGCTGTGATTTTCAGGCGGATTAGCAGAAACACCGTATCAGGCTCTTTCACTTGAGTCAGCAGGCCCAACCCCCTTCCACGTTCCTGACCAAAAAGGAATGAGGTGTTAACTGTGAGCAACAAGGACTCAAAAAAGGCTTCAGAGTCGGAGGCTAGCAAGAAGGGAGCGCCTTAGCAGTGCTTTGGGCGATAACGATCGGGCTCTTTCTATGCTAGCAACGCTCGGATCAGCTGTGGACTCTCTTAAGATTTGAAAGCCAATAAAATGGCGGTGTCAGGAAGAGGTCAGCTTCGACCCGTCTGTGTCCAGCATAGCACGCTCTATGTGAGTCAGACAAAAGACATGAAAAGTTCTTGAAAGGTATCCCATGACCATTCGGAGTACACTCCCGAAAGGGAGACTATCATTTCCTAGGCACTGTGAAGTAATTTGGGCAATCAACGGTGAACTCGACACCGTGCAGCAGTGTCTGAGTGGTCGAGATGAAGCGCAATCGTAGCGTACGAAGTAGAAAGGCAGCCAAAGCAACGCCTGAGGCACACACCTCATATCAGTCTTTACCCTTTTGGGAGACTCGCATGGGCTAACGAAAGAGAATGGAGCCCGGCCACGTGCAGATCGCTACGTTGATTGGCTCGCTTGTGCATCTCGGTCCAATAGGCTCAAGCCAATGAGGAAGCAGCAAAGACCGCGTGGGCCAGTTGATGGATCAATTCAGTCCATTGTCAGCTTCTTATTTCAACCCGTCTGCTTATCTTTACTCATCCAACATGCTGATCAAGAAGGTAAAGGGTCACAGGGGGCTTGAGAAGATCGAGGAAATGCATTCCATTCAGCCGAATGCTCGAGTCGGCGATGGCCCTAGTGAGTATATGGATTGGCCCATGGTCATGTCTTGACCCGAGACCGCGCGATAGACACTCGCCCACATTCTGGTGTGTCTCAGCTGCTCCCACTCGAGATGAAATCAACCCAAGTGCCTATGGCTAAAGGCCAATGAACTTCAAGCAAATACTCACATGCAGCCAAACCTGCCTTCATCTTTACCTTACACAACTCGGATGCCGCAGACATGGCGAGGTAAGGGTTTCACACACCAGACTATGCGTCAATCACCGATGGTGCATGAAACCTGTCGAGTAAGCCACTTAACCTGTGGTGACCAGTCATGGTGCATTCAATACCTTTAGTTGGGATTCAGGTCATTTACAAGAGAGCTCGACTGTCCTGTCTACGAATTACTAGAATCTTCCCGATCTCGGTTGCAAATGTGAGGCAACGTTACCTCAACACGAGCTGATACTAGAGGGGCTCTAAACCTCGATCCAAATATCTAACAGAGAGTGAGCGGAATGTCTGCGGCAAGTTGCATCTTCAGTAATGATAAACAAGCATAATTCTCCGGATATCACTGGAGCCCAAGTCTACCCGAACAGTACATAAGGCGCATATTGTGGTCGAAGAAAGGAGTGGCGGCAACTCAACATTGACCTTCCAAGACATAATACCTACATAACTAATGAGAACACAGTCTCAAGTCTCCCTGATTCCCTTGCTGATGGGCCACAATGCCGCAAAACACCTTGTTGGGATAAGTATAGATGACCCTCGCCGGACCCGGGTCTTCCTTGGGTTTCTTCGAGTCAAACTTATAGTCGTGGCCATCAGGGAAAGTCGGGAATTCCAGCAGGTAGTGGTCATCCTTGCCCATGCCGTTCTGGCTGTGCTTCGGGGGACGGTCACAGTCGGCTTTCCCGAACTTAATGGGTGTGCGACCCTTGATGAGCTTGCCATTCCCGTCGTAGCCGTTGGTGAACCAGTGCGGGTAGCTGCTACCAGTCTTGCCGTCGGAGAGAGGTGCATGGTGAGAGTTGCTCTCAGCTTTGGCTTGATTGTAGAGTAGCCGCTTGTCTTCCCATTTGTTTGTCTTGGGATTCAGCTGTTGGTTGATGCAGGTCCACGTCTATGGGGTCATGTCAGTTACCCTCTTGAAGGCCTCTTAAGGCGACTCTTACCGCACGAGCGTCGAGGGGCGAGGGCGCAGCCAGAACAGACACGGCTGTGGCAGCCAGCAGGAAAAGGTTTTTGATTGCGACCATCTTGGACGTAGTCAGGACGATTTTGACGATGTTTTCCAATCTGGTTGCGACAAGCGAGAGAACTCAACAGCTTTTATACCTGACATTGCTCGTTCAGGACATGCGATTGTCGCGAAGATGCGTCTTTTGTCTCCTGCGCACCTCAGATGATATTGGACGAGCATCCCTGTATGGAGAGGTAATTGTTGGGGCCAGAAGACGCCCCTCACAGGGTAGGTCGTGCCGTGAACTGTCAAGTGGAGTGCGAGCTTTTGGAGTCAATGTAACAGTGTAAGCTTAGAGACACGGGATGTTTTATCCTTGTGGTCAGTTACCTAATAGAGAGAGAAGGGATGACCGTAAGCTGATGGAGTGGATCTTTGACCCAAGCTTCATGCATGTCAACTCTGAAGACTAGACCTGGATTGCAACATGTAAGAGCTGAAAAGCGTACTACCTGACCCTTGCAGGTGAGACAGTGAGCATTTTCAAAGGGACACAACTGGTTGGAAATGCCTCGTTGTTGCCTGATTTCATATTTTGGCCCAAGTACACATGCCATTTGAAACACGACCTGATGTCAGATTCCCAAGTCGACACCGTCAGCGCAATTGCGCCTCCAAAGCGCTGAATCAAGCATACATCTCTACTCATCTCTACTTTGATTTTCTTTCTCCGTTCTTTCTGTTTCTCTTGCCTTCTTGTTGTGGCCCATATCACGCAGTATCCGACCGTGTCTTGTTCTTCCCCACTTTCACCCTTATCACGCCAGGTTAAACTACCATCTCAAACTCCAGAATAGGGACGGTTACCATCTCACTATGTCTTCTCTTCGGCTCGAATTAAAAGACGACGATCCATGGATTATCGAGGAAAAAATATTCAAGATCCTGCGGGACTACCTACAAGCTCCCGCCGCCTCCCCTGCAGCCGCAGCTCAAGCACTTGATCGACTGTTTCCTGCAAACCGTCCCGATGAGGATCAACCTGCAGGCGAGCCCCGCGAGGACCCAGGAAGTTTTCTCTGGCACTTCTGGGGCGTGGTTCATAATGTGGCGCAGCAGATTCCCTACGCTGCTCCTGAACAAGACAGGCTCGCAGAGCTGATCAAAGCCTTGAAAAGTCTAACTTCCCAGACCAAAACTGTCTACCTGGAGGCATGGGGCTATACCTTTGCCTTATGGGGAGATTTGCCGTTGTTAGGTCCAACATTCAGGGAGATGTATGATTGTAAGTATAGATTCGTGCGAGCCGCTGCATCATGATCTTCTTATTGACAGATTAGTAGGTATGGTTTCTCTGACTGATGAGGAGGAGCGTCAACATTGGCAGAGCTTGAATGCTTATGCTACTCGCTTGACTAGAGATGGCTCTGCTGATTTGATCCTCTTCGCGAAATATGCGATAAAAGGAATGTTAGAAGAAGATTTGGAGCACGGACCCGTCGATGATGCCCCCAGATCTATTCTGGAGTGTAGGATAACTGTGGCAGCGGAATGGGTCATACGCTGCGGACAGAGACTTGTGGCCGAGGAAGAGGAAGGGATTGGTATGGAAAATTGGCAGAGGTGTAAGGAGAGGTTCGGAAGCGTCTCAGATAATGCTTCGATGAGCCCGCAGACTCGGGAAAGAGCTCAGAAGGCAAAGCAGGTTATGGAGTCTCTACACCTGAGATGAATAAGTATTGTTACTGGAACTCGCCAAGAGATGTGCCGTACGAGGTAGATCCGGAGACGCGATTGCGGCAAATGCTCACAAGATCTCAAAATTATCTAAAAAAAGAAACAGTTTATTTCCAGGAGAAATCTGCCCTGTTCACCTTTCTCCACGAATTCATATGAGGTCATTGTCTATCGGGCATCACAAGCTCGCGTGACCCACAGTTGTTAGTGACCGAGCCTCGGGACCGGGCGCCAAGAGAGGAACAAAGAACAAGACCAAGGAAGACTGCGGCCAGACTTCGGGAACGTCGGCTGCATCTTATAACGTGTAAACTTAGTTAACCCTGGAGGCCTGAACAGCAACATAAAATGGCGCCTCTGACAGCTCAGGAGATCATCGCTCATCCAGCATATGAGACTGTAGACTGGAAACTCCCTCCCACAACCTCGGGACGGGCCCTGGTGGCTCAGAACAGGCGCGGAGGTCCGATCAACCTGAACTACGAGATCCATGGCACGGGACCCGTGAAGCTAGTTGTCAGTATTTCATGCATGCAGTAATCCCACTGCAAGTCATTCTTAGGGGAAGTACGATGCTAATTCCAATCAGTGGATCATGGGCCTAAATGCCACCCTGAAAGACTGGAAGCGCCAAACCAAGTACTTCGGCCACCTCAACGGCTCGAAATACTCCTGTCTGGTGTTCGATAATCGCGGCGTAGGCCAATCCGACAAACCCACCTGCTTCTACTCCACAAGCGAGATGGCCCGCGATGTCGTGGACCTCGTCAGCTCGCTGGGCTGGATCGACCTGAAAGCTCCCGCGACACGCGCCATCCACGTCATCGGCGCCAGCATGGGCGGCATGATCGCCCAAGAAGTCGCGATGCTCATCCCGGACCGGCTCGCCAGCCTGACGCTCTGCTGTTCGGCTCCGCGACTCGTGCGCACAACGCCCTTCTTCGAGAACCTGCAGCAGCGCGCGAGCATGTTCATCCCGCGGCATGTGGACGTGGAGATCGACCGAATCGCGGCGACGCTGTTTGCGAGTGAGTTTCTGGCGCAGCCGGACACAGAGAATGAGGATCCTGCGTTGAATTTTCCGACGAAGAGGGATCGCTTTGCGGCGGGGCATTTGAGGAAGAAGGCGGATACGGAGTCGTATACGCCCAAGGGGTTCTTGTTGCAGGTGACTGCTTGCTACTTTCACCATAAGTCTCCAGAGCAGTTGAGGGCTTTGGGGATGCTGTGGGCAGGGAGCGGATTCTTGTTTTGCATGGGACGGAGGATAGAATGCTTACGTTTCGTCATGGGGAGCTTTTGAAAGAGGAGATTGGTGAGGGGATTACATGGAAGGTTTTTGAAGGGGCCGGGCACATGCTGGGGTGGGAGACGGAGCATGAGGTGAATCAGTCGATACAGGAATTGGTGGACCGGTTTAGTTGAGTTTGATTAGATCTATTGTATATATGCCATTCCCATATTCCAGAAGTTAAGCTTTGCTATTATTCTTAATTTAGTTCCATGTTGTTCTTTGTTTCAGGAATTGATGCAACGCAATCCATGGAGAAAAGCAAAGAGGGTTGTGCAACCTGTAGAGCCTTTAATACTAAGCAGAGAAAACGAATCTTGAGATTGGATATGATCTCTCCGTTTACCTGTTGTGATGCATCCGACAAACACGAGGCAAAATAGTAGGGCTGTGTAACCACCAAGCCCCCTATTAGTCACCTGTCGCAAGCGGCTGATGACAGCCTCTGATGCTCCTCAAGAGGCATGCATCATCTCATCAACTCACAGAACCTTTCATCTGACCTGTCACTACCGGTCACTTGATAGTCTGACATTTTGAGCCTCCAAGTGGTATAAATTCTGGGGCTCCTTCCAACACCTCTCCTTGTCCAGAACCCACAATCATGTCAAAAATGGCAGAAGTCGCAGATTCCAAGGAACTTCCTCTTGTCAAAGGCGATTACCGTCCCGCAGGACCCGACGAGCTACGAGCTCCGTGCCCCGTTCTCAACTCTCTCGCAAACCACGGGATCATCGCACGCAATGGCCGCAACATCACCGCCGCAGAGTTAAAAGCCGCTCTACGCTACCTGGGAATGGGTATCGATGTCACCGCAATACTCGTCAACGGCGCGTTCAAGGTTCACTCTGATGACCCGAAGAAAGGGGCCCGGCTTGGACTACGAGATAAAGACCAAGTCAACGAAGACGGCGTACCCGTGCTGAACCTCGACCAGGTCGGCCGACCTCACGCCGTGGAGCACGATGTCTCTATAACCCGACAGGACCGCGCCCTGGGCGACTGCATGCATGTGGATCCAGACCTTCTGGAGCGATTCCTCGCTGCTCCAAAAACAGAGAGGGGTTTCAGCGCGTCGGCTTTCGGTAAGTATCGCAAGGCTCGACACGACGAGCAGAAAAGAGACAACCCGGCCTTGGAGTTCAATAGGATCAACCACTTCAGTGGATGTGCGGAGCTGGGAGCGGTTCAGTGTATATTTGGTCGGGGCTTCCCGTATCGTGTACCGGAGGAGTACATACAAGTGCTGTTTGGTGAGGAGCGTTTACCCATCGAGGAGGGATGGAAGCCAAGACGATTACCGCTGTTGTTGCCCGAGCTTGCGCCGGTGATTCTGAGGATTTCACATTTTGCGTCGCCTTTTTGAGGTTACTATTGATTAGAATAAGCGGTTTGCAAGATTGAGCATCTGAGCGTAGTTATGCTGCGTAGCGCTTGGTCGTATCGTGCAATGAAGATTTAGCCTTTGCAGTCTGTTGCATCAATGAATCCAGCCGCTAATAGATTTAATTCCCGGGAGTTTTTCCTTTTTCCCGTCAGACATGTCCTGCGCTGATCAGTTTCATTACTGGTGCATGCGGCATGACCTGGTGCATCGGATGAAGTCGTTACTTTAATGGAATCCATTTTCTTCGATCTGTTGCAAAGTCGCTTGACCTCAGCCACTTACCGGAACTTGCATGCCTTGCTCAAGAGTAGCTCCAGTAGCTCAACCTACGGAGTAGTGCTCAGTTCATGCCAGTAGTAACAGGGCAGTAAGGTATGGGCTAGGGGTACTCGGGAACGATTCGGCTTCCCTGGGCCTGTCGGAAAGTACCTAGTGATGCGGGCCGCAGCAGAACAATCTAACGAAACTAAACTTTTAATCTCATAAAACTCGAGGTGGATCCTACAATATGGAGAAGAGCATTTGTCTGCTCCAATGTCCAGATATTTGACGTACTCCGTAGACTCTAGGGACGTACCTTGAGTAGACTGAAACAGTTTGCGCTCCGTAAAGTGCAACAGTAAATTACACGTCAAAGCTTAATCTATTTAGAGTGCGTATTTGCGGTACCGAGAGACAAGTGCATCCCCCACTTGAAACACCCTAGGCAAACTGCAAAAGACATGAAAGGAACTGAACTCTCAGGTCACAAATCAGAGACAAGGTATTTTAATTTGTATTGGACGTAAGTTACCGTCCCTGACTTTGCTCGTCGGTGTTTCATCAGTAGTGTAGGAAAACTATGTTCCAACCAGTGGTTACCAGTGGCTTGCGTAGTGTATACCGCTTCTGTTGTGATGTCTATCAATCTATCATTAGCAGGATTGATATTACCCAGGATGATCAACTTCATGACAGCAGCCTGCAGGTATTAGCGTGGTGATATATGCACAAATCCTTGTATGGCCATGCCGAGAGCACAGCCGCTATCAAAGCGATGCGGCCAAGACCGTAACGATACATTCCTCAGACATACCAGATGGTCCAGTCCGGCCGGTCGCAGCCATCACAGAGCTGACCCGATGGTCGGGACTGGTCATCCCTCGGCCGTTACCGCTACTGGTAGCTGTCCAAAGGTTTAGGAGCACCTACGCAGTACTTCTCTAAGGGAACATGGAACAGAATAATACACCAAGCTTACTCCGTACTGGATTTGTTCAAGTCTGGGATCTGGATTTGCTTCCGCAGATCCACAAAATCAACGCCCCCAGTGAGCGATTATTTAATTATTCGGTTCCGTCGTTATGTTAGCATTTATTTTGATTTTTGATAGGCAAAATCTCGCACTCCCCATCTAAACCTATTCCTGAACCAACCCGGTCCATCGCAATTTTCTCCTTAGTCTTACGACACTCCATTGCCATTTCTTCTCCGAATCTCCTTTCCAATTCTCTTTCTTCCCAAGACCTACCTACTCTTTTCTATACATCTGAGTACTGAGATTGGTTTTCTTATGCCTTTTCTTGCCTCTGGGGCCACCACAATTCTCGATTCAGTTCTGCCTGGTTGTCCTGCTCCACAATGTTCTTGGCTTTTATGACTGCTTGCCTTCTCCTGAACTACTACCTTCCGGTGACTCGAGGCTAACACTGGCTGGTTCTGGGAGTTGTTCTGCACCCATAACTTGCGCGCAGCTTCGGAGATTTGCAGTGACGGAATTCGTGCGGTAGATCTCTCGTGTGGCGGCGGATCGACGTCCTTTCAACTCAAACCCCTCCTCGAAGAACATTACCTTGTTTCTTCGTTCTCGGGCAGTCTCATCGACGGCTTATTTGGCCGCAGAGGTTTCTACGTGGACAGATAAACGCCCGCTGTCCTCCGGTTCCTGCCACAATGTATACTCCGGTGCTTCGGCGGTTGGCTTCGATGAAGTCCCGCATTCCGCTGATAAGCGGGCTTCATCTCAACTTTATCTCCGTGCACTACATCTACATCATCGCCATGACACTGATCACTTCCATTATGCTTTATCCAGGAAGTGATCTTGCCTATATTGACATCCTCTTCTTCTGTTCCGGCGCGGCAACTCAGAGCGGTCTCAATACGATAGATTTCAACAAGTTAAAAACGTACCAGCAGGTGATCCTCTACTTCAGTTCCATGCTCACGACACCGATTTTCATCCACTCCGTCCTCGTCTTCATCCGTCTGTATTGGTTCGAGAAGCGGTTTCAACACATCGTGCAGGATACTAGAGTGATGCGTTCTACCAGGACGAGAATGCGAACCTTGAGTCGCGATAAGGACGCAACTTCGCTGGGAAGGGAGGAAGCTGGTATTGGTTCTCGCCCGATTGTTGTGCTGCGCAATAACACCCAGGGATCCAATGAAAGAGGTCGCGAGGCGGCTGCTGGAACCCCCGAGTATGGATCGACTCCAGGCTCGCCTTCCCGATTTGATAGAGCGGACAGTTCGGAGGCTCAGACGGGTGGTCCGAATAGCACTGTAGGGCTCGGCTTGGGCAGCCTTCGGGTGCCGACACAGTTGGATCCTGAGCATCACATTGCTTTCCTGGAGAAACAACGGAAGAATAAAGGGGCATTGCGCATTCCCAGCCCTCGGGAGTACGACCGCGGCGGCGTCCCCGAGGTCCTGGAGGAAGCAGATGATGAAGGCAAGGATTCCAAGCGGACGCATAGCAGCGAATCTGACGACGAGAGCTCTCGGAATTCGGAGGAGTCCGACCAAGTTGGACCGCTGGAAGGGCCGCACATCACCATCAACGAACCGGACATACAGCAGACGAGAACCAGAAATTCGACGTTCCCACGTCTCGACACACGTCCCACTTTTCGGGACACGAAAGATCTGAACGATGCATCAGCCCTGGAGCGTTCAAGGTCACGACGCCCTACTCTTAGCAATCTTGTTCGCTCCTTGACCCACGAACGGGAGCGTACGACACTTCCATATCTCAGCTGGAACGCTACTGTTGCACGAAATTCCAACTTCGTTGATTTGACCGAAGAGCAGCGTGATGAGCTGGGAGGCATCGAATACCGAGCCTTGAAGACTCTGGCTGTTGTACTCACTTCTTATTATCTCTTTTTTCACATCCTGGGAATGGTCTGCCTCGTCGGTTGGATCATGACCACTCACTGGGGTCAGGTCGTTGAGCAAATCGGACAAGGTCGTCCTTGGTGGGGCATCTTCACCGCGGGATCTGCTTTCAACGATGTCGGCTTCACGCTGACCCCGGACTCCATGACCTCTTTCCAGACAGCTGTATTTCCTCTTCTCCTCATGACTTTCCTTATCATTATTGGCAACACCGGCTTTCCCTGTATGCTCCGGTTGATCATCTGGGTCCTGTCGCAAATTGTCCCACGCGAGAGCGCCGTTTGGGAGGAGCTCAAGTTTCTATTGGATCACCCTCGCCGATGCTTTACCTTACTCTTCCCGCGAAACGCGACCTGGTGGCTGTTCGCCATCCTCGTGGCGCTGAACGGCATTGACTTGATCTTCTTTATTATTCTCGACTTGGACGATCCGACTGTTACCTCTTTGTCACCGGGCATTCGGGTACTCGACGGCCTTTTCCAAGCAGCATCCACGCGGACTGCTGGATTTGGCGTGGTGAGCGTAGCGGACCTTCACCCTGCAATTCAGGTCTCCTATATGATTATGATGTATATTTCGGTTTTCCCCATCGCCATTTCCATGCGACGAACCAATGTCTACGAGGAGAAGAGTCTCGGCATTTATGCGGGTGGGGAGGACGAAGACGAACCACAGACCCCCCCAAGTTACATCGGGTTCCATTTAAGAAGGCAGCTGAGTTTTGACCTATGGTATGTCTTTCTCGGGCTGTTCATAATTGCCATCGTGGAGGGCAGCCGCCTACAGTCAAAGGCCGACTATGCTTTCCAGATGTGGGCAGTCCTCTTCGAGATTGTCTCCGCCTATGGTACCGTTGGCCTGTCATTCGGATATCCAGGCGTCAACACGTCTTTCAGTGGCCAGTTCAAGGTTTTGTCAAAGCTCATTATCATTGCAATGCAAATCCGTGGTCGACACCGTGGTCTCCCGTACGCCCTCGACCGTGCAATCTTGCTTCCATCGGAATCTCTCAAGGACAAGGATCTGCAGGATGCAGAGAGACGAATGCGTCGGCGGGTCTCCAACCTCAGCACCATGTCTGGGATGGACCGAACTCACTCGCAAGCGCGGGCAGAGAATGGTGTCGCAACAGGCGCCGAGGATAAGGACAGGGGTGCAGCGCAATGGACAAACGGGGACAATATCATCCGCCGGCACTCGACAATGCGGTCGCAAAAATCCCAGAGATCCCAGCGGTAGGAGTTTGTCATTTGAACGAGGGATAGATCAGTGCTATTTAATTGTATGGTTTGCCTGACACATTTCAGGTGTCTGGTGCCGTACTGTGGGGGTTGCACATACTACTCGAAGTCTTCACATATACATGAGGGATTTGTTTATTCAGCGTCTGTTATTTGGCGAGGACTTATTATTGGTGTTTTGATATCCTCACGGCGGGAGATCTTGTCATTAAATAGATATGGTTGACCACTTACCTTTATATATTAAGCAACACAGCTGGCTGTTCATAATCATGAATTGTTCCATATTAAAGCTCCGAGACATCAGTACACATTAATGAGGGCAAAAGTAGTATGTTACAAGGATCTGCCAGTCTTAGACAGCTGAAACAGAAATTGAGATCGTCCAAGGCTAGCGCAGGATTGTATATGAATAGTCGGTGGACCACTCCAGGCAGCACCCGTTGGACTGAATCTCAAGATATGACATCTGCAAAGGACTTTACTCGGCTTTCTATCTACGCTGTAATTTCTGCCTTTTGACTTTGAAATTGGCTGGCATGGAATGCCAAAATTTGCAAGTAGCACTGCATGATGCAAACGGTGCTCCGTACCTGTGTGTATTCCACAGTGGAACAAAATCCGAGGTGAGACATTTTCCGTTCCCAATTTCCCCATGAGGAGGGTGAAAGGGAGAGTAAAACACAATCAATATCTACTTAAGATTCGTTGGAATTACGACATGGAGTCCATACGGGATACTGTGGCTATGATTCTATAGCACGCTTCGTAGGAAATTTTTAATGTTGACTGGGTGCATTGCTTCCCAGAGACGGGCTTATTAGTCTTGGCGGAAGCTTCGCTTTCTTCTTGCCCTTGCCTCGCACCTGCCACCATACAGAATACTCGTACCTCGGTATTGATGAGCAGTCCGATGAACAACTGCTTTGTTAAGGTACTTTCTAGATAGGTAGTGACGCGTCTGGTTAGCTGCAGCCGACTTCTGGATTTGATGTCTTGCAAAAAGCAAGAATACACTGCTGTATGAAACTTACTTACCATGCCGGATAGGGAAGCCGTGTCTGTTTTGGGTCTAGCGTCAGGGACACCACACAGTGCATACATTGCATGTTTCAGACGGTACCTACGTCTGGTGGACACTTTTGGCTCTGTGTACGGAACTACACCTTAGTTGGTTGATATAAGATTGAAAAGAAAACATGAAAATGATCCCTGAAAAACTTTAATATTGGGCCAAAGCGTGCAATACTGCTTGACTCGATCCTAGATCACAGATTGTGCAATGTAGCACATCTCGTGCTGCTGCATGCAGCCGTGCATGCCGGCTTCCTAATTTGGATATGATCGGTGGCAGCTTCCCAAGTTGTGCATGACGGCATCCCTCGCTTCCTCGCAGCGTCTTTCGTGACACTCCACCTCTTTCCGTAGCAAACTCCATTCATCATCGACTACCCAGCTCGGCGCTGTTCAGATTCAATTACTGGTATCCGTTGCCTTTGTCTTCCGCTGAATCGTGTATACTCGCAATAAAACCCGCAGCATATGGCTGAAAAGCCGTACAGCGGCGCCGCCGACGACTACAGTCGATATGGCGGCGTCTCAACGCAGGTCGCCCATTTCGGAATGGATGAGCACCAAACGTCGAAGCCTGCTTCATTCGGCGTTCAAGATAATGCATCGTCTGAGGCCGCCAAGCCGTGGTGGAATCCTCACGGGTGGTCGCTGCGCGCGAAGCTCATTGCGGGTGCGGTGATTGTCGTGGTTCTTATCGGTGCTATTGTCGGGGCCGTAGAGGGAACGAGGGCCAATCGGTATCCCGAGTATTCAAGGCTTGACTACAGATTGCTGGATACGTACTCGGGGCCAACGTTTCTAGACAAGTTCAATTATTTCTCGGATAAGGATCCCACGAATGGATTCGTGCAGTAAGTGCTCCCTTCGGTCTTTTACCTTGGAGAGCTAGGATTGATCTTTGGGCAGATATGTGGATAGGATCACATCTGGAAAGCTGAATTTGACCTATGCCACGGAATCATCCGTCATTCTAAGAGTGGACACATCTAAAGAGTCTCCCAGCAATGGCAGACGGTCTGTTCGACTGGAGTCCAAGAAGTCTTACGACACTGGTCTCTTCATCTTTGATATCGTCCATACGCCTTATGGCTGCGGGACATGGCCTGCTCTGTGGCTCAGTGATACGTACAATTGGCCACTGAACGGCGAGATTGATGTTGTGGAGGCGAACAACGGAGGCACCGAAGGGAATGCAGTCACTCTGCATACGACCCCCGGCTGTGATATGAAGGCCAAACGGAAGCAGACGGGGCATGCACTGTACCATCAGTGTGACAATAGCACTCATGGCAATGCGGGCTGTGGCGTCCAAGCTCCACCTGCCTCTTATGGCCCCGAGTTCAATGACAACGGGGGAGGTGTAAGTCTTTTGTCCAGGGCAGTTTCCTCTCAACATGCTAAAAAAAATGTCAGGTTTATGCTCTGGAGCTCCGCACTTCTGGCATCCGAACGTGGTTTTTCCCCCGAGGTTCGATACCGAACGACGTTTCAGATAACATCCCGGATCCATCAACCTGGGGAACTGCCTTGGCCGACTTTCCCAATACAAACTGCGATATTGCGTCCCATTTCAGCAACCAGAGTATCATTGCCAATATCGATCTCTGTGGCCAGCTGGGCGCACAGCCTCAGTTCTACACCCAGTTATACAATTGTCCGGGGACGTGTAGCAGTTTTGTCGCACGCAATCCTGAGAATCTTACCGAGGCTTATTGGGAGTTTAAGAGTTTCAAGGTCTATCAGGCTCAGTAGTGTGGCGCTTCCTGCATTTTTTTTTGGCGTCTGAGATAACGATTGGTGATGATTTGGCTCTATGCAGTTTATGTCTCTTTTTATGAACAAATGGCGTTCATTCAGGCGTTGGGTAGCCACTTAATTCCCTGTTAGGCGAGTCAATGGATTGTATAGATTGTTTTGAAATGCGTTTGACTATTGGGTTCCTTACAATATCATGACAAGTCCTATGCTACCTATTCTTTAAGCTCAAGATATTTGCTAGATATTGTTGACGTATTAATAATGGTGTAAGTGAGATCATCAGCTGCGATAGTGCTATTTGAGATCTGTCTTGGACTGATGCAGTCTGCAGGGATTTGCACGCAATCCCTTCAAGTCGAGAGAACTCATGTCTACTGTAGCCCGATAGCATACAAAGAATGACTGCGCACCCCTGAAACTGCTGCGGTAGACTGGAGATTTGCGTGGGATCATATTGACGTCTACAGGTCACTTGGATTTGTCCATTGATAGTTTCTCTAGCCATCATATCCATGGCGATGACTAGTAAATACACCGGGATCAAAATCACGGAGCATGGGTCTTGATCTTGAATGAATACGAAGGAGCCATATCATTCTTGACGGGGTAGAGATCCCCTCCTTCAAGCTTCATATCCCGGGCATAGTACTCGACGTTTACCTCCTCGCGGGAGATGTCCATCGCGACGAATCCATTAGCCGCAGACTGCGAGTTCGCACCCAGCCACTTGGTGTACGGGCCCAGCGGCACTCCGTAGTTACAGTCTCCAGCCTGCGGATACCCCGCACCGCCGGCAAGGATAAAGTTCGTGTTGTTGTTGTAGACATGCGCGAGACAGTGGTAGTGGCCGTTCGTTGAGGACGACGCCGCCCGTGCCTCTCGACGACGGCGATCAGAGGCGCGACGTCGGTGTTGTTCGTCGCTGCGGACATGTACCCGTGGTGAAGCTGGAGGAATTCCCCATTCGGCCTTGGAGGCCGCGAAGGCCTGCTCTCCAGGAAGGCGACCTGCGTGGGCCCGCTCGGCGTGGCATTGCTTTGTGTACGAGTTTTGGTAGACGGATGTGCTGGCCTGGTACTTCTCGATGAAGCAGTCTGAGTCGACGACTACGAACGTCGCGGTCCAGTCTGCAGCGTGGAGGTCGTAGGTGTAGTATGGCTGGCCCTGTGGTGCCGAAGTACCAGCGGGAGTCGTAGACGGGCGCGACCTTTGTCTCGAAGTCTACGCCACTTTGGCCCTTGACGGCATCGTGATTCCCTAGGCATTGATACCAGGTGGCGGTGTCGAAGACGGCGCCGGGGTACATGTCTACCCGGGCTGCCTGGAAGCGGATGATGCCGCCAGTGGTGAAGTCGCATAGATGGTGATATAGACCATACCGCCGATGACACCAACAGTCATTTTGGTAGGGCCAGCGGAGGCGATGACACTCGGGGCCAGGCTCGCCAAAGCGAGAGTCATCTTCTTGAAGTTTGCCATGACGATGGATGCGAGAAGGCTGACAAAAGAGTATGAGTGGCGCTGATGTGTAGAATAACTGTGCGACGGTCGACTGCACTATAAGTACCTTTCACATCATGGAGCGTTGAGCAATCGAACGACATTCACGAGGCCCCCTGCGGGAACTAGGCAACGTTGCTATCATCGCAATAGTTTCCCGGAGCTCATCCCATTTAGAATTTGATGAGATGCTGAGTGCGAATAGTGAAATGATCTCCCCCCTGTTGTGGGAGTAGTTAAGCTTCGACGGCCACAGCCAGTGCCAAACCCAGGCAGTCCAATGAGCTTGGCCCAGCTTAGAACGTGGTCGAAGAACTTTGTTGCCTGTTGGTGTACAAGAGTGTGTTACTTCAGGAACCGAGGTGCGGGAAATAGTGCCGGGTTGAAAAAAAGCTTGATCTTGGAGACAGGAGGGTCGGGGTAAGACTGGCGCAATATTGTGCTTTGACTGCTCGAGTGGTTCCTTGATTAATACTATCTCACCATGTGATTCGACGGGAAGGGTAAAGTAAAAGGCTAGACTTGGAGATTGGAGGTTTGAGATTCGTGTATGCCTTGCTATTAATGTTCACTTTCCCGTCGGGCCTTGAGGATTGCCATCTCAGCTAGATGATAGAGGTCGCCCATAAACTCTTCCACAAGACGGACCTGGGCGGTAAATGTGGTTGGCGTCTGCTTCCATATATGCTTCCCAATATGTTCAAGTACTACTCTCATCAAAGATAAGTCAGTATCGCTTCGGTCCTCCAGAGGACTCATGAGGATATTCGAGAAAAGGTGGATGGCAGATGTGGAGAGTTCTGGTAAGCAAAACCTGTCAGGGATATCAGTATCGGGAACATTTCTCCAAACATATGGCTGGTCGCTTACAAGAGAAATTGTCCCTCGCTTTGTGGATCCGTTTCCAGGAACTTTCGTAACACAGACCGACTGGCTGCTACGCTGAGGGCAAGACTCGAGCCCGCCACGCGGGTGTCCTGGTTCTGAACCCAGGCAGTGCACCGGCTGCTTGTCTGATGGATTGCAGCCATGCAGTAGTGGTACTGCATTTCAAAAAGGAAATCGGCCATGCGATTTTCGTTCTGTGTAGGTCGGCCCGAGAACGTGGGCACCGAGGACCGCCATTCGTCCAAGGCGATGTCCAGGCTGCGGATGGTAGCTAGGAGATCCGCATCGCTTTGGCGTTGAGCGGAGAAAGAGTATAGGCCATGATAGACCTTCGACTGGACTAGAGACAGGCGAATGAGGGTGAGAAACATAGTGTGGTTGTGTTGATGACAGAAAGGCTGCAAGCTTTCCAGCGGGCCAGTCACCGTCTGCATTCGAGGAAGCGTTAGATCGCAATTCGTCTCGTCGATAAAGGGTTGAAGGCCTGTGCGCAAGCTGAATATCTTGTCGAGGGTGAAACAGATCCAAAAAAGATTCCTGACGTGCATCTTTGCACCCAGAGTACCGCCCTCTATATCCTCGGGGTAGACGTTGCCTTTAAGGTGAAAGACGAAGCGTGTGGCCATGGACAACATAAGCTCTATACTGAGCATATCTCCAGATGTGGCCTGACAGCAGAGGCACTTTTCCTCAAAATGTTAGCCGTGTATAATTATCGGAATGCCCATACACAGGTGAGTGATTGAAGTAGAACGATGGTCTTACCAGCATGGTCAGTGCCTGCAACCCGTCCAATGTTACTGACTCGTTGAGCATCTCTGGGAATAGATCTTGAGCCTCGCGGGCATATTCATCGGCAGTCACGATTTTGTCAACATGCGGTTGACCAGCAAAGAATGAACTCAGGGCCATAAAGGCAAATATACATACCCTGGCGCTGAAAAGCCCAGGCGAGATGTCTGACAATTCCTTCTCGTAGGCCGCTCGGATAGTGTACTCAAAACATGTTCGGTTAACAAGAGGCAAGAACTGGCCGCAAACTGACTTTTGAAAAGCCTCTATCTGTTCGAAAAGAAGCGATTTATCCGGCAGCGATAATCGTCGGTCGCCCTCGGTACATTTCTTAGTTAACCGCGGCCAGGTGATAGGCCTCATGCTGCAATATCGGTCTAGAGATCCGTCCTCGCCGGTACGGGCTCGAATCCATTCCAACCCGCTTGGAGAGAAGAAAGGCAAGCCATTGAATGCACAAATATTCCCGAGAGTCTGTCCAGCAAGGCATATATCGGTCCCGAAACCTTGGGGCACTACAGCCTGGGGACCGCACTCTGGAAAGGGTACTTCAGGCAGAGTTCTTCTTTCTTTGATCCATGCAATGGGCAATGTTAGAACAATCAAGAACACTCAACGTTGGGGTAGATATGAGTCGTGTTTAATACAGACATACCGTGTCTCATATGTTTACTTGAATGTGGGGAAGGTGAACTGCTGCTGGAAAATCGAGTCAATAAGGATCACTGTCGATGTAACGTAACGATCAGGTATGAATATAAAGGGATATAAGAAAAGCCAGAGGTTCATACTTATCACTTCGAGTTTGGCGTAAGCATGAGCGCGAGGAATCTCGGTCGCGCGTGAAGGTACAGGGGATGTTATGATGGTAGCACCAGTCACACTGGGGCGTTGCGCGGTCACATTTGATCTAGATGAAAAATAAGATACCAGATCCCACTGATTAGAAGAATATCTAGACTATTCAACCCGTAGTCTGGGGCAGACCTTCTTGATGCTGCAGGAGTCGCAAGCATATGTACGTCGGGTACGGCGTGGGCGGTTCGCGCCATCATTGCCATTCAACCTTTGAATGGGCATCGCCCTTGCAGGATGATCCATATTGCTTCGACCAGTAATTATATGCCAGGGGTATGGTCACACTCAATCTAAGCAGGACAAGTACCCGCAATGATGCTACTACCTCTGTCACTCTTCGACCAGTGGAAAACAGCCGCATCTGGGAAGTGTGTTGGTTTCCTCCTCAGCCAAGTTCTTCACAAGCTTGAAGAATCAGCAAGGTCCGATTACTCAATAGCGATGGTTTATTTAGCGCACTTACAGATTGAGGTGCTTCCATCGCTCAGCTCAGTCCGCCGGCAAGACGAGGAAGCGGAACCCGCTTAATCATCGGCTTTTGAGATAACTAGGTAACTAGATGATCGACTGATCTGACAGTAGTGTGTGAACAGTGTGGGTCATAGATTAGCAACGTGCGTATTCCCGAGCATCCAGAAGAGATGCTGGACAGTTCTAGGCGCCGGGACTCGGAGAAGACCTAAATTTTGTCCCGACTGCCGAGCCATCTATTGGTTGATGATTACCGACCCCAAAAGCTGCGTCTTTATGCTCATTCTCCAGTTGGTGTCCGGGGTTAGTTATCGTGGAAACGCGCTGAGTCAGCGGAGTTGTGGCAGCGGTATATCCTCATCCAACTACTTTGTGTACTCGACTGCCAGACCAACGTGCAAGTTGCAAAATCTATCAAGCAATAGTACATCCTTAAACCTTGGGTGTTCTGGAGTCCAATTGGAAACTGCGCCTCTCGGTCCCGGTGCTCGATATCTCCGATTTGACCTACAATTGGGCCCGAAATGGATGCAAGACGGACTATCACCCTTGCGGTGCCACCTGTGTATCCGCGGGATGTCTTCATATTCCTAATTCTCGGAGAAAATGAAGGTGTGAATGTCCGTTGGACTTGTCGGAATGGTAGCTTCCGGACGAAGAACGGCGAACGGCCGTGACATTATAATAATAATAGTCAACTGCACCCCCGCTCAAGGCCTGGGAGATTGATATTCGACAAGGAATTGAAATAGAGCTACTGGCTAGTTGATCGGTTCTGATTGCAATCGATACTTTCCTCCTATTCCTTCACCTTCATGGGTGTATCAGCGGCCAAGCACGACTGTATCATGAGCGCCAACAGTCAGGACAAGTACTTACTTGAAGATCCTAGATCTCAAGATGAGGAAACCACTTACGAATCTACGGTCAGATCACCCATGGACCTTATCAGACCAGATGAGACAGAGAACCTGAGGCGGATTGCCACCCAGCAGTCGGAGAAGTCGCGCAGACGGTTAGAGGCAGGCGCCCCAGATGTGCATACCACGCCCGCTGTAGCGGAGGATGACCCTGCGTTGGATCCGCAGTCAGTGGAATTCAATCTGGAAAAGTGGCTCAGAACTATTGTGGCAGACGCCAAAGGGAGAGGTCTTTCGCCTCCACAGGCCGGGATTGTCTTCAAACAATTGAATGTCTCGGGGTCTGGGGCCGCCCTTCAGCTACAGGACACGGTTGGTTCGACCTTGGCGTTGCCCTTGCGACTTCAGGAACTGCTTCGCCAGAGGCATTCTCCATCTCGACTGATCCTCAAGTCCTTCAATGGCCTGATGAAGAGTGGCGAGCTGTTGCTGGTGCTTGGGCGTCCAGGAGCAGGTTGCAGCACCTTCCTCAAGACACTCTGCGGCGAGACTCATGGACTTGACGTTGATCCGACAACTGTTTTACATTACAACGGTACCAATGTCTTCTGTACTATTCCCTGCTCTAATTCCTCCTCACTAACGGGGCTTCGAAGGCGTCTCTCAAGCACGCATGATGAAAGAGTTCAGAGGCGAAATTGTCTATAACCAGGAGGTAAGCCTGCAGGAATCGTGCTCGCACATGCGCTTGCGCTGACCTCAACTGTTCTTCCTTGCAGGTAGATAAGCACTTCCCCCATCTTACTGTGGGACAAACACTCGAGTTTGCAGCCGCCGCTCGCACTCCCTCGCACCGATTCCGCGATATGTCCCGGGACGAGCATGCCAAGTACGCAGCACAGGTGATCATGGCTGTATTTGGCCTGAGCCATACCTATAACACGAAAGTTGGAAATGACTTTGTTCGTGGAATCTCCGGAGGGGAACGCAAACGAGTTTCGATAGGTATGTTGCAGCCCGTTCCGTTTCCGTCCCCAGAGCCATCCGCTAGTGTGCTGACTTTCGAGTGAAGCGGAAATGGCTCTCGCTGCTACGCCTCTCGCAGCTTGGGATAATTCCACTCGTGGACTGGACTCGGCCACCGCTCTCAAGTTCATTGAATCTCTCCGAGTACTGGCCGACCTGGCTGGAACTGCGCATGCCGTGGCAATCTACCAGGCCAGTCAAAGTATATATGACCTCTTTGACAATGTCACTGTCCTCTATGAAGGGCGTCAAATCTTCTTCGGGCCAACATCCACCGCAAAGGGCTTTTTCGAACGTCAAGGCTGGGAATGCCCTCCTCGACAAACGACAGGCGACTTTCTCACCTCAATCACGAATCCGCAGGAGCGACGCGCCCGCGCTGGTATGGAGAAAATCGTTCCCCATACACCAGAGGATTTTGAGACGTACTGGCTCCAGTCGCCAGACTATCAACGTCTACAGGAGCAAATTGAGGAATTTGAAACTTTACATCCCCCAGGCGACGATGAGAAAGCTGCCGCTCACTTTCGAAAGAGGAAGCAGGACGTGCAGTCCAAAAACAGCCGGCCAGGATCCCCGTACCTGATCAGCGTACCAATGCAGATCAAGTTGAACACGCGACGAGCATACCAACGATTGTGGAACGACATCTCCTCGACCCTATCAACGGTGATTGGTAACATTGTCATGGCTCTCATTATCGGTTCCGTTTTTTATGGGTCCCCCGACACTACAGCAGGCTTGTCATCACGGGGCGCAACGTTGTTCTTCGCAGTCTTACTGAATGCATTGACAGCGATGTCGGAAATAAACAGTCTGTATTCCCAACGCCCAATTGTTGAGAAGCACGTGTCCTACGCATTTTATCATCCTTCAACGGAGGCAATCGCCGGAGTGATCAGTGACATTCCAGTTAAATTTATCCTTGCTGTGGTCTTCAACATCATCCTATACTTTCTAGCGAACCTTCGCAGGGAGGCATCACAGTTCTTCATCTACTTCTTAATCACCTTCATCATCATGTTCGTCATGAGTGCGGTTTTCCGGACCATGGCTGCGGTGACAAAAACAGCCTCACAGGCAATAGGTCTGGCCGGCGTGTTGATCCTTGCGCTGATTGTCTACACGGGCTATGTCCTTCCAGTGCCCTCAATGCATCCTTGGTTCGAATGGATCCATTATATCAATCCAATCTACTATGCCTTTGAGATCCTGGTTGCAAATGAGTTCCATGGCCGTGATTTCCCATGCGCCAGCTTTGTGCCAGCTTACGCAGACCTCTCTGGTGACAGCTTCTCTTGTTCTACTTCTGGCTCTGTAGCCGGCCAGACCACTGTGAGTGGTGACCGCTATATCTTCTACAACTTCAAGTATAGCTACGATCACGTTTGGCGGAATTTTGGGATCCTGATTGCCTTTCTCATTGGCTTTATGACCATCTACTTTCTGGCTTCAGAGCTAAATTCGTCCACCACCAGTACTGCTGAGGCATTGGTCTTCCGGCGTAATCATCAGCCCGAGCACATGGGTGCAGAAAATGTCAAATCCACTTCCGACGAAGAGAGTGGCATCGAAATGGGTTCTGTTAAACCTGAGCATGAGACAACCACGGGTGAACTGACTCTGCCACCACAGCAAGATATATTCACGTGGCGTGATGTTTGCTATGATATCGAGATCAAAGGGGAACCACGACGCCTTCTTGACCATGTTTCCGGCTGGGTTAAACCTGGCACTTTAACCGCATTGATGGGTGTAAGCGGAGCAGGTAAAACTACTCTGCTTGATGTCCTGGCCCACCGAACCAGTATGGGTGTCATTACTGGGGATATGTTCGTTAATGGGAAACCCTTGGACACGAGTTTCCAGAGAAAGACGGGATATGTCCAACAGCAAGATCTTCATCTTGAAACCGCTACTGTGCGGGAATCATTGCGTTTCAGTGCCCTACTGCGTCAACCGCCCACGGTCTCAATCCAGGAGAAATATGACTATGTTGAAGATGTGATTCGCCTGCTAAGGATGGAGGAATTTGCTGAAGCCATTGTTGGAGTTCCTGGTGAAGGATTGAACGTCGAACAGCGCAAGTTACTGACCATCGGCGTGGAACTTGCTGCAAAACCCAAGCTACTTCTTTTCCTCGACGAGCCGACAAGGTAAGCGGGTGATGGCGTCTCATACTTCAATGGATTTGTCTGAGCTAATGTTTGAATTAGTGGTCTGGATTCGCAGAGTTCATGGGCTATTTGCTCATTCCTGCGTAGGTTAGCTGATAGCGGGCAAGCCATTCTCTGTACCATCCACCAGCCAAGCGCTATTCTCTTTCAGGAGTTCGATCAGCTACTGTTTCTTGCAAAAGGTGGAAAGACTGTCTACTTCGGTCCTGTGGGGGCCAATTCCCGCACTCTACTTGACTACTTCGAGTCAAACGGCGGGCGGAAATGCGGCGAATTAGAGAACCCTGCGGAGTACATGATCGAAGTCGTCAACGCCAGGACCAATGACAAAGGACAAGATTGGTTTGATGTCTGGAATCAGAGCCCTGAGAGCCGCGCGGTCCAGGAAGAGATTGACCGCATTCACGAAGAAAGGAAATCCACGCATCCAGAGGACGATGATCAGGCGCACACCGAATTTGCGATGCCCTTCTGGTTTCAGTTGTATGTCGTTTCGCGCCGTGTCTTCCAGCAGTACTGGCGAATGCCGGAATACATTGCCTCCAAATGGGGTCTGGCCATCGTGGCTGGCTTGTTCATCGGCTTCTCCTTCTTCGATGCCAAAACATCGCTCGCGGGCATGCAGACAGTCCTTTTCTCCTTGTTCATGGTCTGCTCTATCTTTGCATCTCTTGTTCAGCAGGTAAGACCCCCGATAAACACGTCCCAC